ATCTATCTATCTATCTATCTATCTATCTATCTATCTATCTATCTATCCATTTAAAGCATTTTTATTACATGCTTACGTTAAATGTAACAACATGTAACAACATTGAACAAATCTGGTGTGGACGTTCAAATTATTTGACTTTTGTATTTAAACTACTGTAATAATTGTGTACAGTAGAGAAGTACTGCCAACTGAGAGCTATAAACCAGCATTTTTTCCTGGAGGCGTTTCCTAACAGACATGCTGATTAAACATTACAATCTAAGGCGTTCTGGAAAAACTGAACTGTGATGTATTGTGCTAAAAGTTGTTTTAAATATTTTGCTTAATTCATAATGCTAGTTAGTTGTCAGAACAATACATTAAAGATCAACACAACTACTGCCACAAGAAATAGAACATCATAATAAACTGATTCTTCAAACATAACAATGTTTATGTATTGCATCACTTTTGTCACACTCGTGCATTCTAGCTTATATATAGACGGGAGAAATTAGATTCTTTTCTTCTTCCTCTCCGTCTTAGTTTATCTCCATCTTTCTTTCTTTATGTCAGCGTGGGCCAGATGCTAGACTGTGATTGGTTGACTGTGCTGCTGCGCCATTTGCTCTTTGGCTCAATGAGGGCCATGTGCTGTGGATGCTGACTAACAGCGTAACCCAGGCAAAAGGTGCATGACTACTTTGTCTGCAGTTTGACCCAAAAATACAGCGAGTGGGCGCCAATGCAGATTTGTTTGTGTGAGCCTGTGTGAGTGACTCTGGTGGAGTCTGTGAGTCTGGTGAGTGTCTGTGGTGGAGGCAGGAGAATATATACGGCCATCCGCATGCCGTTTAGCTGCAAAAATAGGTCACGCTGGTGCACCTGCCAGCCCTCTCTCCCTCGCTGTCTGTTTCATTTTCTTTGTCTCTTCTCTTGTGCTGTCAAGGTCCTGCGATCTAATTATAGGTTCACTTTTCCTCTTTCTCCATTGTCTTTCTGTTTCTATGCTCTTTCCATGTCACTACAACCCTCTGCTGTTGTTGCCATGACTACCTCGCCGTGTGCTGGAATGCACACTGGGATGAAAAGTGATAAGATGCTCAAGTAGATCATTCAAAAAAACTACTGCATATCTCTGACTTTTATGTGTCTATGTATGCAGCTAATATTTATTATAACCCCCTCCTCTTCAGGTGGTACAAATCAATAGTTGTTCAAATTGTATGGCTTTCACGTTGCCTCCGGTCATTGGTAGATTAATACTTTAACCAGATTATGACTGCTACCAAAAGACGTCTGAACAAATGATTTATTGATCTGACTTTCAAACTCATATTTTTAAGCTCTGCCTCCACAAGGCAGGAAATTAAATAACAATATTTACAGTAATAAAACAACATGATTGCTACACTACAGTTTCCATTTATCAGACCAATGAACATACAGCACTTACTGCAAAAAAAGAAAAGAAAAGCAGGTCCTCTACTGCAGGATAACCAGCACAGAAACTAATGGCATCAGTTCAGATTTGCTGGGAGATGTAATTCATGCGTGTTCACGAACTGGGTTCAGTTCAAGCACAATGTAGGAGTTTGCATGCACTGCTTCCAGGTGATGAATGCAGACAGGTCATGTTGAGACCAAATATTAATCAAAATATTAACTCAGAATCATTTTAAAATAACACGATTAAGCCTAATCCTAGATATATGTTATTAAATCAATTATATGTCAGAAAATAACATTTCATGTTTGATTTCTAAATTGTTTTTTTAAGCTACCAGTACTAAATGCCATACACACTGTTAGGTGGAATTGGGTTAAAGATTTTACTTGAATTTTATTTTAAATACATCATCACACTCATTTGTTTTTCCCTTTTGCCTTTTTTTCCCTTTAATGCCTCCCGATTTTAGCTGAGGATAGGTATCCACACGGGTTCGGTGCTGGCAGGCGTCGTCGGGGTTAAAATGCCACGATACTGCCTGTTTGGGAACAATGTGACTCTAGCCAGCAAGTTTGAATCGGGGAGCCATCCAAGGTGTATCAATGTCAGTCCCACAACCTATCAGTAAGTATGAGAACCGTCTCAAGCACCTAGGTGTGTGCACCCAGTACGTTGTGTTGTTTTGCACAATAATTTAAAACCTCCACTTACTTTGCTATCCGCTCCCAGAGTGTGTTTGACCTAAAAAATCAAAATAAAACTGTTATTAACTCAATTATGTCATAGTCATGTTTACACAAAGCTGAAATTTCAAAAGCTCTTCAATTATTCAGTGTCTCTGTTTTGTCTTCTTGTCTTGTTCCTTTTTTTCAATAATATTCTTTTGTTAAAGTGCCTCTGTTTTTTGTCATTTCCTCCACAGATTGTTGAAAGATGACCGCTCCTTTTCCTTTGTCCCTCGCTCAAGACTGGAGCTCCCAGATAATTTTCCCAAAGAGATCCCAGGGACATGTTACTTCCTGGAGGTGGGGACTTCTCACAGCCATGCCTCACTTACCAGCTCTCGCTCGGCTCCTCCGGCCTCTATGAGGAAAGTCTCCTACAGTATTGGGACCATGTTTCTAAGAGAAACAAGTTTGTAGATCCATGCACAGACCAGGTTGCACAAGAAGTGACTTTGTTTGAAACCATGGGACTCAGTGGAAACCTACAATTCTTTGGATATGCAATCGCATTCTGTAAACACATGGATTCAGACCTTTTGGGTGAAAATGCTTTCATCGTAGGTGAAAAAGAACAACAGGCCCTTATCTTCTCTGCGAGGGAGATATGCTTCAAAAGGCTTAACATACAGAAACTGCGCTAGTCTCTCATCCTTCCCCAAGGAGGTGAACTGATTGAATCAATTTGCTAAGAAACCTTAATATAAAACTTAATGATCTTGCTGGATGTCTCAGCTCCAGACCTGGTATCTAGCTCTCTCCAGACGTCTCTGCGCCCAAGGGAAACCTGAACTGGGTCCAGACTAAAGAAAAAACAGGGAGAAAATATGGGGAGAGATCCCACTCATGACCAGTGTTCCACACATTAGCCATGGAATTGTGCAAACAGAACAAATCCACTTAACAAAGTGGGTGCTGGGAATGAATTTTTGTGAATATTTGGAAGATGGGCACACATGTGTTGCTTTGCTTCATGTCCTATTGTGCAAAAAAAAAAAGAAAGACTACTAATGAACAACAATTCAGTTCCCCTACCTTCCACTGCGACTGTCTTTAAATCGTATCCTGCATTGCCAAACTTACCTAGAATATGTGCTGATTGTTAAACTAACACCTTGGTTTGGGAATGGAGAAACAAATGACAGGAACTAAATAGATGGGAGGAGAGTCACAAAAAAGACAAATGTCAGCAATCATTTTATTCTGATTTTACAGATTTTCTCCTTCTAACCCACAGGAATCTGTAGTCTACAGTAATACAGCCATTTCACGTTGGACTCAAAATTATTCCTAACTCAGTGCCTTTCTACCATGCAAACCAGGATATTACAATATTAACAGAATTTGAATAAGTGAGGGAAAAAAGACACTCAAGGAGTTCTTCATTTGTCTAATGTCTCCAGTTAGTGTGTAAGATACCTGTGGCTTTAACGGCTCTGAAGAGAATGATATGAAATATGGAATTGGGTGTGCAGTTATTTATAAGTCACATATGAACCTTATCCCTGCACCCCAGCAAGGGTGTCAACTTACTAGTGTCATTTTAAAATGATTGAGAGTAAGTAGCAACAAATATCAGTCACTCCTCAAATATTTAAGAATGCCGTCTCTTCACCTTTTCATTTAATTCCGATTCAATTATAGAAATAATGTAACTTTCTTAAAATCAAAAACTTCATGACAAACGTGATAACAGGATGCACACGTGACATGTTACATTTGCAAAAATAAAAAATGTAGCTCCCTGCCCATATAGCCAACAACATTCTAATGTAAGTGTATTGGATTTTTGGGACATCATGATTCACTAAGTAAGAGTATCAAATGACTCAAACACCTCTGTGTTTCCATGCACACATGGGAAAGTGAACATGTGGATTTTTAAAGCTGAGTGAAAACTAACTGAGATAAAAAGTTTCCTAAAAAACCTATATGTGTTTTAAGATTAAATAATGTAATTCCTGTATTACTGGGATTGTTATCCATCAGGGAAGTACAAATAAAATGTTAATTTACGACAGCCTGAAAATATCAGAGGGAAATAGGTTTTGAAATGTCGAGATATTAGATTTCCATGTTAATGTGACCTTTTATAATGACAAAAGGTACCCAAAAGTTTGTCAATGTCACAAACAAATTTGAGGTCATAAAAAATTGGGCTATTTAAAGTTTAATGAGTGCTTACCCATGCGTGCTAACCAGCATCTTGACAATGACAAACTAAATCAGAAAATAAAACACTTGAGACACAGAGAGTAAAATCCAGCATTTTCATGACATCTTGCCAAATAACTTACCTTGTAGCAGGGCCAATAACATTAAGTCAAATATGTGACTTTAGATAACACCAGCGCAAGCCAGTCATGCTTGTTGTAGTGACTATTTGGTTCCAGCTGATTGTCCTGAGCATATTATTTGGACTATATGTTTACCCTTGCAGGGAGTTTTCATGGGCATATTACGACCATAAAATATGAGAAACATTCTTTACTTAATATACATATTACTTAAGAAAAAAAAAATTGCCAAATTTTAACTACATACATATGCATATTATACATTATGAATAAATTCTACAAAAAGTGATATATGCCTTATGACAATTGAAGTTATTCAGTGCTGTATCAGGGTCATTGTAATAAATAAATACAAGAATTGTGGGACAAGTTCTAAGAGGTAATAATTTAGGATATTCTCAAAGAATGAAGTACAGGTAAGCACAAAAAGATGAATGAAAAATGCACTTTTGCCATACTTTTGGAAAATCATGCCACTTTTAATAATGCTTCGGTGGCTGAATTAAGTCACATCAAACTTTGCCATTAGGTTGAGAAAGAAATACTCACGACATTCTATGATCTCTGTATTATAGAAGTAAGTTTGAAAAGTCTATTCATGCCTGAATGCATAACAACATCCTGCTGCCATCTGTTCTTTTTTTTTTTTTGTTAAAATCCCAATCCTAGATTATCCAAATCAATAGTTTTTGCTTAAAAACTTGGGACTTACATAGTGGATATTTTATTTATTATTTTAGAATGCTTGATAATGTTCCTGTTGTCATTATTTACTGCAATGGCCTCAATGCAGTGTAATGCACACTGGGGGAAAATAATCCTAGTTAATTTCTGTCAAATAATCCAAACAGTCTAATTAGACAGACGTAAAAGTGTGCACATTTCTTGCAAATGTTGCTGTAACTCATGGCAATGAAAACTGTTTTGCTAACAAAGAAAATGCTGATATATTTGTAAGAATATTTTTCCATACACTTCATTTGTGTCATCAATTTTACAGTAAACACCAAGAAAGGAGCCATTACTGTTTTTTGGAAAATCATATTAGCTGTCTTTAATCATGCTAAAATGGAATATTAAACTCATTGTAGAACCAGCAATGGTCTAATGAATGAATGCATAAATAAAAACCCAGTCAATCACTTGAAATCATAGTTTTAACGCCTAAATAGATTTCTGAAAAGTAAATATATATGTATCAGCAAAAAAAATAAAAAAATAAAAATTTCAGCAGACCATCCTGTAAAGTTAAACATACAGCATAATTTATTCAATATGATGCAAAGAAAGACAACTCTCATCTGAAAACTCGAGGAAGTGGATGGTTTGAGGTGAACAGTTTCTTAACAGGTTATTTATTTTTGGAATCAAGGCAAGAGCAGATATTCTCCAGGTTTATTGTCACTTTAAAAGGAGCCAGAACCGGTAACCCATTCCGAACAACAGTGCAAAAATAACCGAACATACTGTTTGTATACATTAGCAGAGAAGAAGAAAGAAAGAAGAAGGAAGTGTTTTTTTTTTTTAGATAGTATGTGCATACTTTTAGCCTTTCTGAAAATTATTCAGCTCTAAAATCTTTCTAACCACGGTTTAATTAATATCCACAGAACTTTTTCTTATTGCAAGAAAGAAAAATGTCAGTTCCTGGAAACACAGTTTGTCTTAAATATTATAATAAAAATTAAAATACAGCAGTGGAGATCCCTGAAAACTGATATTTAATTGTTTCCACTAGGCAAAAAAAACAAAAACAATATCCTTGGGGACATTGTAAGGTGAACTGTATTTGACAGTTGTGTTATTGAGCTGGGGGTAAGTGGTTTTCAGAGCAGGCTCTCAGATATAGAAGCATAATTGCTGTCTGTCACTGGCAATAACGCATACATGCATTAATGTTTATTTGATAAAGCTGTTGTAGCATAAATGTAGTACAGGTTGTGTTTATACACGGCTTCAGCAGTGCCTAAACTCTGCTTCTGGGCTAAATAAAGGATATTACGCCAGCGTTACACCCACACAACTTGTGTCCACCACTCAAGTCTCCAAGTCTGTATTCTTTACATAATATTAGATGTTTGACCGGAGCCTTTTGGTTTGGACGTAGAGGTGTTACAGGTACGGGTTCCATTGTGTGCCGCACTGCATAAAGCCAGCGACCTTCTCTTTCACAGGCAAGCATCACAGATACGCTAACAATAACGCTTTATGAGTTTAGTCAAATACTGCCCAGGAAGAATAGCTGCCTGAGGAGAATGTAAGGGAGCTTTAGTGTCCCGTGAGACAAAGCCAACTACGAAAACATGTGGAAGCATAAAGTCTGCTCCAGGGGACATTTACTGAATGAACACCTCGCGGTGTCCGTTGTAGCATTACTTCTGGAGTGCGGCCTTTGCATTTCCTGATGGTTGTGAGCAGTGCAAACTCTTCTGTCCTGCAACAAAAAATCTGTGTACATTTTGTACACCTTTTTCAGCTTGGCGAAATACGTTACTCCTTGAAATGTTCTGTGAGCCTGCCTGGGTTTTGCAATGTGCTAACACAATTTGTGACTTAACTGACTCTACTTAAAATTCATAAGGGATTTGAAAAAAGTCATTAAATTATACTACTTAAAAAAACCTAATATTCACTAACTGATTTGACATTTCTCTACTGTGTTTTCCTTTGTCAGCTTGATCTTTTGTTAGCCAATATGAGGGCAGACTGGGTTTCTGAGTTTTTCCACATAAAATCCACACCCTCAAGTAATTATTTTAATCAATAGAATGTTAAAGTAATGTTCTTTTTAGTCAAAGTCGTTTACTCTATCCTTTGCTTCATTTCTGGAACGTTTTATTTAAACTTAATAGTAATTTCTGTTGAATACCCTTCATATAATTTTTTTTGCATGAGAGTTTTATGAACTTTTTCGTTGCCAAGATCAGCTCCATCCCCAGTGACTGGTGTTTACATCCAGACTGCAGGCCTCATTGCTCAATTCGGATTAACTGCTTAGATGGGATTTTTGTTAGCCTGTTATTTAATGTGGTCAATGGCAGATTTCAGTGTGGATAGGCTCACCAAACTGAACCGCCCACATGCCCCAAAAACCCCAACAAAGTCCTCATGACATGACCAAAAAACTGAGATGCCAGCCAAATACAGGAAATCTATTTCAGATTTGGGGATGCTGGTGTTTATTTACAGTTAATATTTTATCCGATTTATGAGCACATCCTGAGGTGGCCAACATCTGTTTTTTGTTCACGTTGTAATGAAGTCATGTAGCCATAATGAAGTCGCGTATAAGCAAATAAAACCCAATTTGGGCAACATTTGACCTCCAATCTGAATGCAGGCTCACAGTGCAACAAGTCAACATTGTTAGGAAACTGGTTCCTGTGTTTTTCATCACTGCTAGGTTCTAAAAGCAGAAACAAATTCAGCTGATGCCTTTTATACATTTACCAGGTCAGAAAACTAAAAAATATCTAGAACTCTCAGCTGCCACCCCTCTGAAAACAGTATCCATCATTATTTTACCTGTGTAATTGTTTGAGTGTCTTTTATTTTGTAGGCTGGCGTCAATGCTGGAGAGGAATTCTGTTTGAACTTCTAGTTCGGATCTGGTGTCAGTTGTTTTTCTAAGGTGACTTAATGACAGATATTGACTTCTGACTGATGATAATAGCACATTCTCTGTCTTATATAATGTAAATAAAATCAAACAAACAAAGCAAGGAAAAGGAGAACACACCATGTATCATTAATTAGAGAAAAAAGCCCATGGCTCCTACTGTAAACACACACATAAGACCTTATTTTAACATGACATGAGTCTGTGTATGCTGTGCATGGATTTGACTGACTGTGTGATTGATTCTGGGACATTGAACTCTACATGGGTATGTAGCAAATAGATCTGATCATAACACATTTGTTAAACATGTGTAGTCCTTATTGATGCTTACAGATAACCTGTTCAGATATTTTTTGATCACTTAAATTCATAATTCACCATCCGATTGTTTTGTATTTTTACTGTCTGATCTGTGTTGATCTCAGTCACTGTTGACGCCACAGTCCATACTCGTATAATAACTTTATAAACCTTTTTCTTCTTAAGCCCAAAGTGGCTGTATGAAACATGGTTTGGAATAGATTTATATTTTTCTGAAGCATCTTAGTGTGTATTTACACTGGAAACATTTAGTCTGATTAAAACTAACTCTGATGCAGTTTCTCTGTAAGTGTGAATCATTTGAAGAACGGTAAACGCTTTCATCCAAAGACAGCAAAACCAAACTGTCGTCTTTCACCCCACAAACACCGGTAACGTTTGACTGAAATACAAACACAGACTGGAGCAGAGACGAACTCAAAGGACAAGGTAAGATGAAAGCACAAGAAACAATTCCAACAACCATGAGTCAAAGGATGAAATCACTCAGTTATCCATGAGAAGATTTGGGACTGGAAAGCTAGTGATTTGGAGTCCCTTTGAAGTGGATGATTGTGGGAAATCAGACATAAGCCAACTCTTTGTTCACTAAGCTCAACACCCATCAATGTGGCTTGAGGCTGCTTTCAAAAGGTACTAGTAATTTTCAGCCTCCTTGCAACATGCAGAGGAATTGGTTAGCATGCAAACTACATTAGTCAGCATCAACATGACCCCTTCCTTGTTCTTGTCTCATTATTTACAGTGAGGGCAGTGTCACGTAAACCTTTGGTCAACACAAACAACACACAGCGAGGCATGATTATTCTGTAACCTGTTCCACAATATTGTCCCCTCTGGTTTCTATAACACAGCCTTTATTTCGATCTATTTTCTGTTCCCATTCCTCCACTCCCCCAGCCCTTTATTCGTCCTTTGTCAGTCGTCTCTTACCCCCTCAGACCCTCCACATATGCAAAAACGCCTCCATTATACTAATTGGCATTGGGGCGTTTGAATATTTCACAGGGAACTCCATCAATTCACAGGCAGGTGAGGATGGGCTTTGACGCATTATTGGAAAATGTGTAAATGGAAATTACATGCAAGCGCACACAGCAGGTAAGCAAAGGTCATGTAATATATGAGCTGTGCATGTCGTATTAGCTAAATGAGGTAGGACTGAGTTAGGAGATGTGTTCATTCAACACATTTTGGAGGGAGGGGGGTCTGTAGTGAGGGTGTGTGTGCATCCCTGTCTGTATAAGTAATTATACATGGGGCATCTGTAGTGAACATGAGGCTGTTCTTTGGATAGTAATCTTTTGGGTTCTACCTGGAAAAAAATAAAAAATAATAGTTGACCAGCTAGTTTGACCGGGTAACTGGATGTGCTTAATTGTTCAATGTGCAATAATCTACATTAAGAAGCTAGCAGCTATTTTCTATGTCGAAATGAAGTGGGATAGTTATTATCTGATATTGAAGATGGTCATGTTAGTGCATAGGAGTCTTTGTCCAGGCAGTGGGGAAAAGCTCCGGATTTTCTTCACCATATAAATCATGTTCTCTATAGCCCAGAAAGACAAGACTAAACATCACTGAACATACATGAGATGAACAGCCCAACAAAATCCTGGCGTGCTTCAACATAGTTTTCATTTCTCAGTTTCCGCTAAGTGATCTTAAAAGGCAAATACCTGGCCTGCATGTCATCCATCCATCCAAATTAGCTCGAGAGGAAGGCAAGAAACAACTCCAGGTCAAAATGTCAGTGCAAGGTTTACTAAAGTCACAAGACTGATGCATCTGGAGCGTTTGATGCTGTTTTGGTTGGTCGGGCTCCGGAAAACCACCATTAAACTCTGGCATTCTAAACAGGGATCTGCATGATACATCAATGAGAGAGCAAAAATAATTATCAAACAGTAAAGAAATCAGCAGAAGATGAGATCAAACATAAATCTATAAAAAACCATAGGATAATTTCGTATTCAGATTACTTTATATAAAACATGAAAAGCTTAAGAACAAAAAAAAAACTGGAGAAGGTGAAATTGAAGGATTTGGTGCATAATTAATGCTTAACAAAATGCCGTTTTCTCGGTTTACACATTCTGAGGAAGTTCAATTACACAACCTCTCAAAGATGTACGGAAAAACTGAAATTGTACTTAAATGCAGCGGATTTCTGTTCGGAAAAAGATGTATCATTCTCTCTGCCAAAGTGAGCACAAGGTTATTCCTTCATCACATTAATTTCTATATCCCTAAGCAGTAATCATGTAGAAAGGATTGGCCCTCATCTTTCATGTAGTTGTGCTGTCAAACACTTTGGGCTTCTCCTCCACAGCCACTGCTCCACTCTGCTGAACAGCCCTCTGTTTTTTACTTCTCAGGTTCAGACAAAGGGACTCGCTCCATCATCATGAATCACTCGATTTCCAGGAGAGAGAAATGTAAAACGAGGACACGGCAAAAAAAGTAAGACAATTCAGGAGGGAAATCAAAGGGACATAAATGCATCCACAAATAAAAGACTGACATAGAAAAAAATCCCTTAGAAAACAGTCAAATTCAGATAAAATGCATAAATAATGAATGTGTTGGAAATTTATGTTAGTTAATTAAACTCATAGAAAATACTTGATTAGATGATATCTAATTTCTAAATGAATGCATAAATGAACGCATTTATATATTTTTCATTTTATTTTCTCATTTCTGTCCCTTTCAGTATTCTGTCAATTTAAAACTCACATAAGGTAAAATCTTTTTTTAATTTATCAGAAATTCACAAGCTCACTGTCAGGCAAATGAGAGAACCCCCCCTCCCAACAATGACATGTACAGAACCCCTGCACAAGCTCACATATCTTGCCTTGTTGTGATATTCAAAGAGGGTCACTACAGTGGAAACGGACGAGCATGAGCGGCGGATTTGTGTTGATCCATACAAATTAAAAGATCACAGAGGAAACCTTGCAAGGCCGTGTGAGCAGGATGCCCTTTGCATCAATCTGCATGGTTTTTCGTGTGTGTGTGTGTGTGTGTGTGTGTGTGTGTCTATTTATGTGTCTGTCTGTGAGACTCAACCCCCCCCCTACACACGCAAACACACACAGCCTTTACAGTGCTGTATGTATTGGTGTGCATTTGCAGAGAGATTACATCACCATGAGCTAAGTAATACACAGCCGCTGCATAAATGTATACTTTCTGGCACAAGTCTTTGCCATTACTGGCATAATCTCAGAGATCAGAGCGCGATATCTTTTGCTCAGCCGGATTACTGATTAACTCACCACGAAAGCCAGTGTTGGAACAAACATGATGTTCACTGCCCTGCTTAGAAAATCACAAATGTTCAGTTAGAAAATGGTCAACCAGACAGATTTTGGTTGTGTCCTGCCTTAAGCTTCCTTTGAAAGATAAGCAATTGTACTTGTGGGAGTTTGTGATTTGCTTCACTCGTCAATGATTTATTCAACATCAGTGGATTACAGCAAATGTAAGCTATTATTTTGCATTGGTTTTATTGCTCCATAATAATTAAAAAAAAGATGCGACCACATGGATTGATCAGGTGTATGTTTGTTTGCATTAACTTTTTCTTTGATTAGACTATTAAATGTTCCTTTTTAAACCTGGAGAAAGAGGAACATGGTCCTCTTTGCTTTTTAAAAAATGTTTAACATTGAGCATTGATCTTAACCCAGCGGTTAGAGTATCTAGCATCTGCAAATCATAAAATTGTCATTTTGGCTCCTGTGCTTCCTGGACCACACATTTAAGTGTCCCCGGGCAAGACAGTGAACGCTACATTGTCTGCTTACGCGTCCATTGATGTGCAATTGTATATGTAAGAAAAAAAACTGTATATATGTAAGATCCCCTGGATGAATGGGTTAACATTCATGCTTTAGTAATTTTGCAAAAAATCTCAAATATTAATTTAATTTTCATCCCATTGGTCATATTTTCAACTTGTTGAAATACAAATGACAGCTTTGATACAAGTAACATAGGAGATATACACAATGTCCCCTTTTACCACCCCAGAGACTAACTGTATCTAATTGTGAGTGCCTGTGTGTGTGAGGCTGTGCATGTGCATCTTTGAAGTCAGCTTAGGGATGTTAAAAAGAGCAAGCAGGACAAAGATACACAGCTGATGAAACAGACTGTACAGAACTCTGTGTGTGAGTGGGTGTGATTTAGGGATACGCTCCCAGGACTTCTTCCTGGAACATCCTGTAACCTCATTACCATGCTCTCATTAGATACTCATTTAGACCAATCAGAATTCTCTAATCTAATAACTTCATATGAATTATGAAAGAAGTCTGTTATTACTGCAGACGTCTAGCTAATTAGAGCTGTGGTGCACCACTTGCCTGTGTCCTTGTGTTTTTGGACTTTGTTGGGGATTCAGTCCTGCATTTGTGCACCCTAAGCGACTGTGTTTCTGCATGATCTGCTTTTGGGTCGGAATTTGGGCAAAGAAAAAGACAACCAGTTTTGACTTTAATTTGATGTTCACATGTGTTCATGTGGTTTATCAATCAGGTGGACGGGCATAAAAGCATCCATCCGTCTGTCGCTTCCTCCTCTGTACTCCTGTCGTCACCTGTTTTTTTAAAGGAACAAATTTGTGTTCAAATTCTTATGGTAAACCTGGAACCACATCTCACGCCTTCCTGAGCAAATGCACCTGTGTGCCTTGTGTCTGCAGCTAGTAGTTCTCTGGGTGAAATTCCCAGGGTCGCGTTGTCAACTTCTTTATTTTAGTTTCGGGCAACATTTAGCACCTTTGCTCCATCCTCCTCCTGCTCACCGCCACACTTTTACACAGCTCCCAAAAGATAAGCAGTTTCTGTAAATAGAGAACTCTTGGAGGTCATCTTGACCGTTTTAAACGAAGTGGACAGAGGTCAAGTTGTGCAGTGGGATTTATTCTGGCTTTGATTCCTATGACTCAACATATTTCCGCATGTGTCCTCGTTTGTGTGGCCTGTATGAGAAAGTATGCTTTCCTCGTTCACGCACACATTCGACATCTCTACCTTTCAGTAGACTTGATTTTATCTGAAAGAGTTAATCTGTGAAAAAGATTAGTCAGATTGCATAAGGTAGTCACATAGTTACAAAGTATGGCTGTTAATTGTGAAAAACAAAAAATGATCAAAGAAGAAACATTTAAATCCAGCCTCTTTAACTGCATTTTTGTGATGTCAGACCTTTTTTTGAAACCCAGTTCTCAACCTTTTATCAATTAATCTTTGAAGTGTGTT